GAACCGCGGTCCCTGTGCTTTGCCAAGCTTGTTCCAAGTAGGTGCTTTAGACCACTGAGCCATCTCTCCAGCCCTATTTCCTTCTTATATTTTTGCTTTTTAATATTTTAAGATAGGATCTCTGTGTAATTCATACTGGCCTTGAATTCAAGATCCTCCCACCTCCATTTCCTGAGTGCTGGGATTACAAGAGTACACTGCCAAGCCAGCTTCATTTTTTTCTTAATCTATGAAATTTTTTTATTGTTGTTTTTATTTTATTGAGAAAAAAATTGCAATGAGACAGTTTCAAAGCAGGTTGTTAGGAGAGTTACAACAATTAATACATTGCATATTGTTGTCTTTGTAGTAGTCATTCACATAGCTCGAGATGCTGACATGATATCCTGTCCAAACAGTATTAGTACAAATCTTTATTCTTATTGAATTAAGAGAAAGTGGCTATATATCTGTCCTAAGAATTTTGTTGTTGTTGTTGAGACAAGGTCTTGCTTTATAGTTGAGGCTGGCCTCAAACTCAGTAATCCTCTTGCTTCAGCCTCCCAAATGGTGGAATTAGAAGCATGTACCAAAATATCCAGCCAATCTATCAGAATGCTATATGCCCAATGATTCTTAACTCGTAATAGTAAACATCTTTTATTTAAACAGAATCTTGATTTTTAAAGCAGTAGATCTATGAAGTCTTACTACAGTTTGCCAAATGATGACCCGGAGGCAGGCAACGGTAAGGCAGAAAGTAGCAGAGATAGAGCCAGAGTTCAGGTTTTCTGTTGGCTTGTGGGTTTTTGAGTCAGGGTCTCACAGTGTAGCCCAGGTTGGCCTGAACTTGATCCTCTTGCGTCAGTCTCCCTAGTGCTGAATGCTGGGGTTCAGGTTTCAAAGTGTTCTTTCCATCACTGCATAGGTTTCATTCATTTCCCTGCATTCTGGAAGGAAACATTGTTGGCACTTAGGGACAGTCACTCCTACTTCAGTGACTTCCCTGTGAGCCATCAGTTGCTGCTTTAATAAGATACACTGCAGTTTTCTCCCTGTTGAAGGTCAGGCTTTCTTGCTTCAGCTGCTAATTGTTTAGAGTTCCGTGTGCACGGTCATCAGAACGAGCACATGGGAATCTGCCTGTGCTCCAGGGAGCCAAGCTCCAGATGTCTGTTCTCCGAATTCATTTCTCCACAGTTTAAGTGTCTTCCTTTCCAAAGTAGAAAATGAAACAGCTTGCCTTCTGGAAGGGAATCAGAATGTTTACATTTCTTTGATGCTATTTTAGGGCTCTGTTATTCAGATTTTCTCACTGAAAAGAACAGATGAGCAACATTTATCCCACAATCACTAATCCCACAAAAATAAAGTGTGCGGTTTTGCCACATTCGTGGGGCCATTTTCCCAGTAAGTCTTCAGTTCATTTGGAGTAGAGGGCAGATGTGCATTCCTCACTGTGATCACTTAGTTGGTCAGCACTGGAAAATGAAGAACATGAAAAAGTCACTTAAGAATGAGGGATGGGTCCCCGGTTCCACAAAAAAAAAAAAGAATGAGGGATGGGGCCAGGGAGATGGCTCAGTTGAATAAGCACTTGCCTGGCAAGCCCAAGAACCTGAGTTCAATCCACTGTTGTGGAAAAAAAAAAAAAATGAGGGAAGAGGGGTTGAGGAGATAGCTCGGTGGTCTAAGCGCCTGCCTGGCAAGTGCAAGGACCCAGGTTCGATCCCACGTGCCAGGCATGATGTTCAGGACCCAAAACCAGGTGTAGTGGTGCATGCCTTTAATTCCAGCAGTGAGGAGACTGAGACAGGAGGATCACTATGAGTCTGAGCTTCATAGTAAGTCCCTGTACCAAATAAATAAATAAAAGATTTTTTAAAAAAATTAAAAAGAATGAGAGGAGAGGGTTATATTATTCAGGTACTTTACTTAATTTGATAAGAGGCAAACAGAACCATCTTAGAGCCAGGCATGGTGGCACATGCCTGTAATCCCACCACTCAGGAGGCAGAGCCAGGAGGATCGCCATGAGTTGGAGGCCAGCCTGGGCTAAATAAGTAATTCAAGACCAGCCTACAATATAGAGTGAGACTCTGTCTCAAAAAGAAAAGAAAAGAAAAATGGTGAAGTAAATTCTCTTGAATGCATTCTGTTCCACTTATATATTTTTTTGTATTTGTCATGTTGAGTAGTTACACAGAACATAACCTTGTGTATGAGGATTAGAAAATGATATGGGTGTTGTTGCAATTTAGAGTAAAGAGTATTTTTATTTACTTTAATTCTGTTAAGCAATAATTACAAAAGTTGTGTTCATGGGTAGTTATTTGTAGGTGAGAATTTTTCTGTCGGATTGGAGAACAGATCAGTAGATCTTTGACTTAAAGAAGAGCAAGACTTTCCCCATCTGTGGGATAGCTTGGATGCCTTAAAAGTAAAATGTGTAGACTGTAGAAGTTTAAAACTAGTGACAACTCCAGTCTGAGCTATAGGAATCACATGACAAGTAGTCAGTATTTAGGGAGCTGGACTTTGTTAATAGGAGAAATTATAGATCAAGGTTCACTGTCAAGGGATAGAGGGGTCAGGGATATAATTCAGTGGCTTAGTGCCTGCCTGATAAGCGTGAGGTCCTTAGTTCAATTCCTGGTACTTAAACAAACAAAAGAGAGAGAGAGAAAGAGGGGGGTACTATGAGAGAAAAGAGGGTGTTAAGGTTTTTTTAGGTGTTGGGCTTGTTTTCCATACAGAACCCTTAGAACTCTTGGCTCAACTGGAAGTTTGCTGTAGGTTGGTGGTGTGTTGGGGGAACTTTCCAAGATAGTAGCACTGACATGCTTGCCACTAAATCTGTATTTAAGGGTGGAGGGCAGATCCTGGTACACCCCCCACAGAGGACGACTTTGGATAGCAGCCACAGGCAAAAAACCCTCCCCTCAAGAGGTCTCCGAACTCCAGGCTACCTACCGGCTTCTGCGTGGGAAAGGTAACAGCATGTGTCTTCGCCTTTCACTGTAGGGAGGAGTCACTGGTGTTTATCTTTCACTTCCCTCTTCCCACGGCTATTTCTTGGCTGAAAGAAACATTTAAAACCTGTGTTTATTAATTTGTTTAATAGTAAGTGGTAGAGAGCTGTTCAAAGCATTTAGTATAAAAACATCTGTTTCCAACCCAAAGGGCACCCAACTAACCTTAATTTTACACTTTGTCTTCCTTAGGAGGTTAGGAAGCAAAGCTAATTTTACTTTTTATCTAAGAAAAATCTTCATCTGTTTTACTTTTGAAGATAAATGACTCCTATCAATTCTGGGATCTTTAGATTGGGAAAAAGAGCAGAAACAAGATTTTTTTAATATCAGGAGTGACCCTAATAGACACCTGCTAGCAGATTTGTATAAATTAAAACTAACTTAAAACAGAATTTAGCGCCTGCTTAGGCAGATGCAGGGCCTGGGGGTTCAATCCCTGGTTTGCCATGCTGGCCCTGCCCCCAGGACGTGCTGAGACATCATTGAGCTGGGCGTGGTGGCACCGCACCTGTAATCTCAGCTCTTGAGAGGCTGAACACAGGAGGATCACTATGAGTCGCATCTACATAGTGAGACACCCTGTAGACCCTGTACTAAAATACAAAAAAAAAAAAAAAAACAATTTAAGGAATCATCGCATGCATAATAAATTTGGATCTTAAAAGCAAAACTTCAGGGGCTGGTGAGATGGCTCAGTGGTCTAAAGCACCTACCTAGAACAAGCTAAACAAAGCACAGGGACCGCGGTTGAATCCCCCAGCACCACATGCCAGCCAGCCGCGCCCCCTGGTGGGCTGAGCTGGCCACACACACACACACACACACACACACACACAAATAAATAAATAAAATTTAAAAAAAACAAAAAAAACTTCTGACCATTGGGTATTCTGTTTTCCTTTCTCTTACCCAGCTCATACAGTTGTTTTGAAGGTACAATGAATGATTATAGAACCATATTTAATAGTTTTCAAGAACCTGGCAGTGGTGATAGATGCTTGAAATTCCAGCTTCTAAGGAGACTGAAACAACCTGGGCAACTTAAGTCAGGCTCTTGATTTAAAATGTAGAAAAGGTGACCTGAGGAGGTAGCTCAATGGCCCTGCACCTGCCTGGCAAGTGCAATGCCCTGAGTTGAATTCCTGATAACAGAAGAAAGAAAAAATGAAATGTAGAAAAGGGTTAGCGGTGGCTTAAATGCCTGCCTGGCAAGTGCTAGGGCTTGAGTTCAATTCCCAGTATGAAAGAAGATGAAAAGGATTAGGGATATAAAAGAACAAAAGGTGGGGTATAGCTCTGTGGTAGAGCACTTGCTAGTGTGCATGAGGCTCTGGTGGTTCTAATCCGTGGGACCAAAAACAAAAAGTTTTTAAGAAACTAAACTTAGAAAACCAAAAAGAATTAAGATGTGTTATGTATGTGAACCAACTCCACACGATGAGTGTAGCCATTATATACTGCAAATATGTACTAATAAAATTAAAAAAAAAAAATTTCCGACAGGCACTTAGACCACTGAGCTATCTCACCAGCCCCAAATTTTTTTTCAAAAAGAAACTAAGCTTACCAGGCATGATGGCATGTGACCATAGTCCCAGGAGGATCACCTCAAGTTTGAGGCCAGACTGGGCTAAATAATGCGTTCAAGGCCAACCTGTACTACAAAGCAAGAAGCTTATCTTATTTTATTTTATTTATTTATTTATTTAGCGGAACTGGGGATTGAACTCAGGCCCTTGCACTTGCCAGGGAAGCACTTATTGTACTGAGCCATCTCCCCGGCCCCACAAGACTCTCTTTAAAAAACCAAAAAAGGAGAGCCGGGGAGATGGCTCAGTAGAGTAAATGCCTGCCTGGCAAGTGCAAGGGTCTGAGTTCAATCCCCAGTTCCGGAAAGAAAAAAAAAAAAAATCAAAAAAAGAAAGAAGAAAACTAAGTTTAAGCAACCGCTAGGAGTGATTAAAAGTCCATGCTTCCTTAAAAGCACGTTGCTATTTTTAGTGCTACGTCAGGCCTGTTTTAAATTTGAGTTTTAGCCAAGCATGGGCGCACTTCACTATAATTTCAGCACTTGGGAGGCAAAAGGACCACAAGGTTAAGTCCCCCACCCTGTAACTGTTAAATCATTTTATTATTACAATGACAAGACAAATGGGTCTTTGTATCCCCATTACATTGATGCTAGAGATTATAATACTTTATCACAAATGCTATTTAATCTTTTTAAGACACATTATTTACTATGTTTGGAATAACAGCATGCCTAATAAAAGAAATATAAAACATTCCTTCCTTTTTTAATATGCAAAGTATCTACTTTTATATAATTTATACCCAACTTTGACTGTTAATAGAAACAGTGAAATATTTTACTTACAAGGTTGAGTCTTGCTTGGGTAATTTAGTGAGATTTTTGTCTCAAAAATAAAACAGATAAACCAGGTGTGATGGTGCACACATACAACCCAGCACTCGGGAGGCTGGGAAGAAGGAAGAGCACCACAGGCTTAGGGCTAGTCTGGCCTACAGAGCGAGTTCAAGCCCAGCCTGAATGACATACCCTGTCTCAAAACAACAACAAAATTAATAATAGTAATGATAATGATAATAATAATAAATACATTAGCTCAATTGTTTAAGTGTCTGTTTAAACAAAGCACTCACGCTCAAGATGCTATGGTTCGAACCCAGATACTCACACCAAACCAGAAATGCCCTCAAGGCATCTTCAAGCCGCCAAAATAAATAAATAAATAAATAAATAGGGCTAGGGATGTAGCTCAGTGTGATGGCCTTGGACTCAGTCCTAAGTACTGCAAAAAAAGAGCCGTGGCATCCGTGGGGCTGTAGCTTAGCGGTACAGGGCCCCAGGTTCGATCCCCATTATTGTGAAAAAAAAAAATTTGTTCTGACACTCATTTTTAAAAATTTTTATTTGCATTTATTTTATGCTTAATTTATTCCATGCTATAAGTTTTTGTTTCTTTAGCTTCTTCCACGGTATATTTTTATTCTGTGCAACTTTCTTCTCTGGTGTAGGAGTAGCTTGTTCCGTTTCCTAAGGGTGAACTCGGTGGGCAGGAGCTCACAGCTGGGCCTGTCTGAGCCCAGGACCCCTGCGGAGCTCTTCCACACTTTGCTCGTCTAGATACAATCACTGAGCAGAGACTGCTTTCACCCCTCAGTTCAGATTTGCTCTCTGCACTGGTAAGCACGGGTGGTAAAAACCCGTGCTGTTCTTGGGTCAGCCCAATGCTCACCATGGGCATGCCTATCAACTTCACCAGATGACATCCTTAAAATATGTGGTGGCCTTGCAGATGTGCACACCCTTGATGGCCTTTGTAGTTTCATAGGTGTTGTTAAAGTACACATGAAGATTTTAGCTTTTTTTTGTTTTGTTTTGTTTTGGTACAGGGTCTCACTATGCAGCTTGGACTCCTAGTGATCCTCCTGTCTCAGCCTCCCCAGTGCTGGGATTACAGGCCTGTGCCGCCATGCCAGGACTTGGTCACCAGCTCAGCACACCTGGGGGTGGGGCTGGTGCAGCATGTGGTACCAAGTATTGAACCCTGGTTCCTGCACTTGCCTAAGCAGGCGCTTAGTCTGCTGAGCTATCTTTTTATTTATTTATTTATTTATTTATTTATTTATTTATTTATGTGTGTGTGTGTGTGTGTG